ATTTTTTTCGACTGTCTAAACAGAAAGCTTGACTTTTTTTCTATAAGATATGTGAAAATCAAAATGGGAGACCGATTAATTTTTGAGAAAATAACGCTCAAACACTCAGGCGCGTGACGATAAAGGAGGGCGTGGCATAGTGGCGCGCGGGTAGAGCGCGCGGGAGTGTTTGAGCGTTATTTTCTCAAAAACTAATCGGTGTCCCACTTTGATTTTCACATATCATATAGAAAAAAAGTCAAGCTTTCTGTTTAGACAGTCGAAAAAAATTTTTCAAAAACCGATTTTGAGCTATATCGAAATTAAAACTTTTACCTTGAATTTCAAGGTCAAATGTTAATTTTTTGGAAAAACTTTTACCACTATCGTATAGCGCAGAAAAAGACCATTAAAAATCACTACTTATAAGTTAACTTTTATGCATCATACTTATAAATATAATAAATTGAAAAAAAACATTTTTAAAAAAGTCAAAATTTTGTAACTCTTTAAAACTCAAAAAATAGTTTATCAAATTCAAAAATACTTGATATTTAGACTTTCACTAACAATAACAACACTTCAGTAAAGTTTTGACCAAATTGGAAAACTTTTATTTTTTAGTCAGGACATTTCAGGAATTTTGCCCCATATACGACATGGCAAATTCTGAATCACTTAGATTTTCGTAGTACTCAGTTTCATTTTGAGCCAGTGGTCTTTTCTTATCCATACTGGGCTCTTGATAATTTAATTATAACAATAATTATAAAACAAAACACTCAAGAAAGACGTAAATGTGATGCACTTGACAATTTCTGAGATACTACTGACGAATATGGACGCGTATCTATGATTCAGCTTTAGAGAAGCGACAGGTCGAAGCGTGTTTGTGCGTGTTAGTGCGTGTCTGTGTGTGAATTAACTCGTAGTTGGCTCCCGCTAAGAGATTTCTGTTATAGAAGCCAACTACGAGATAATTCGTAAGACCTTTTTTTTAAAAAAACAACATTTTTACGCTTTTTGATGATAACTATGCACTAGAATTATAGTTTTTAATAATATAATGTGATTAAATCAAATTGTCATTTTAGGCCAGATTTCTGAAAATTGCCGTGGCAGTCAACGTGTTAAAAATAGAAATTTCTTACAAAACGTTTTTCTGAAGCTTCTCGTGTAATGAAAATCCAAAGTAGACATGCTTTCCATGTTATTAAAGAAAAAACTTTATAAGTAATGTAATACTCTGGTGCTGTTGAACCAATGGTCGCTGTAAAGTACTAGACTAAACAACAATTATGAACTATAACACTATAACTTTAAGTTATCTCTAGGTTCATAATCATTTATAATAATCATTTCTAAGCCGATTCGTCAATTTTTCGCACTAAAATCGACGATGTTATAGGAACATTCGTGACTTTTGGAGATTTTAGAGGCGGCCGTATATAATAGAATTTTTCAAAAGGCCACGTTTTATTCGAAAGAACACAAATATACGAGGGCAAGTCAATAAGGTCTTAGAAAATCTGTCAGAAGGCACTCGCAGTATTATTACTTCATGACAAATAACATCTTTCAGCTGATTACTGTCAGTTTTATTTTTGTAAACTATTAAAGCGGACAACATTTGTATTTTTTGCAAAATGGAAATGAACGAGTTTCGTGTAGTAATCAATCATCTACATATGCAAGGTTTGTAACGATGCCCCCTAAAAATAGGCATCGTACCCGGCACAAAATCCAGCCGGCTGCCGTCGCAATGACCAGTGGTCATTAGCGACGATGAGGGCGCGGTGCGCCCGAATATATTTTTAAAGCAATACAAAGATAATTCGCAGGTACAGCAGCCGCAGTAGAACCGCCAGTCTCGCCGAAAGGTGCCGACCGTCGTCGGGAACCGCCGATCGGAAATCTTCTCCCACAAGAAGCCGATCGGCGGAAAATACCGCGACCGACCGAAGCTTTACGAGCGAGACTGACGACCGAGTATAACATACCGCGAGATCAAGCCGCGCGACGCATTTTTGCCTTCACCCACGTTCCTGACACATCCGATCCGATCACCAGCTCACGATACCGATCCAGCGACTCGCTCGTCCGACGAACCTGAGGGGTAGGGTGTACCCTGCCTCTGCCGGGCGCTCCCGGCCGCCGAACGAGCCGTCCAGGAGACGCATCTAAAAGCGCACAACTAATTCGCGTGTTGCTCCGACGAACCTGAGGGGTGGGGTGTACCCCGCCTCTGCCGGGCGTTCTCGGCCGCCGGACAGCCGTAATTAGCTATCACTCCCACCTTCCGAACCTTCTTTTCCGCATCCCGAAAATCCCGTCTTGGTACTTGACATACGAAAAGGGGTAGGGCGCTCCCTGCCTCTGTCGGGCGTTCCCGGCCGTCAAGTACCAACTCCGTCTCCTCTATCCTAGCAAACAAAATCACGTATCGCGCCGCGAAACGACGCTTGCTGGCGTATACCCGCGTCCCGCCGCGTTGCAACGCGCCGCCGAGAAAACCCGCGATCGCTTGCACATATCTCGCGCCGTTTGAGAGTCGTTAGTTGTCGTTGCAGTGTCCGCGTCCGTTGTCAGCGATAACCTATATGTACATACTCTTGTTGTCCGCGCTCGTTTAGATATACATATATTCTGTTACCCGCGCTCGTACTTTCTTCGCTGTATTGTTGTCAGTCGCGTCCGTTAGCTATATATTTCTATATGTTATTTTCGCGTCTATTATTGTAAATTCGTTATCATATAATTGGCTTAATAAACCATGTTTCTTGTCCAACTCTTATGTTCGCATTAGTATTTTTCTGTTCCGATTTCCGACGCTTCACATAATTTTCCGCCGCACCGTTCCGACGCGAATACTCTTTCCGCCGAACCTTTTTTATACGACACGCATTTTTACGACGAGCTAGTCCGAGTATAAAAATTAGGTAGTTACAGGTTTAACGCCAAAAGAAATCAAAGCCGAGTTGGATAACGTTCATAGCACATCTGCTCCAGCATTTGCGACTGTATACAATTGGGTGAATGAATTTAAACATGGTCGTATATCCACATGTGATGCATCTCGTTCGGGACGTCCAATTGAGGTTGCTACGCTTGAAATTATCGATAAAGTCCACGATATTGTTTTGACTGATCGACGAGTGAAAGTGCGCGAGCTTGTTGAGGCCACAAGCATATCACATGGCACAGTGATTTTAACTTTGTACAAACAATTGGGTATGAAAAAGCTATCGGCAAGATGGATGCCGCGTTTGTTCACCGTGGACCATAAACTCCACCGTGTAACGATTTCAAAACAATGTTTGGAGATGTTTCAACGTAATCCAGATGAATTTCTGCGTCCATTCATTACTGTGGACGAAACATGGATACATTACTTCACACCCGAGACGAAGGAACAGTCAAAACAATGGATTTCACCTGGTGAACCCAGCTTCGAAGAAGATGAAAACCGTGAAGTCGGCCGGAAATGTGGCCACACTGTTTTGGGATGCACACGACATCCCTATACGCACATCGATGATTCATATAGATTACCTTCCGTCGAAGCACACGATCAATGGCAGTTACGACTTACAGCCTTATTGGACCGTGTCAACAACATTTTAAAGAAAAACCGTCTCCATTTTGGCAAAGAAGAAAGTGCTCTTTCGTCAAGACAATGCACGGGTTCACACGTGTTCGGCACCGATGGACAAATTAAACGAATTCCGCTACGAATTGCCTTCCCGTCCAGCATATTCGCCAGATTTAGTTCCCTGCGACTATTTCCTGTTTCCAAACTTGAAGAAATTCGAAGGAAAGAGCACCAGAGAGCAACTCATCGCTTAAACAGAGACTTATTTTGAAGGGTTGGACAAATCATATTCAGAGAGCTTGAAAAAGTTGGAGAATCGTTGGATCGAGTGTATCGAGCTGAAAGGAGACTATGTCGAGAAATAAAAATAAAACGTTCAAAAAAAATGTCTTTACTATGTTTTTCTAAAAACTTATTGACTTGCTCTCGTAACAATAATTTGAGACCTTAAACATTTTTTTCCATTGCGTCAAATTTTGGAAGAAGAATTGGCCGCGAAACGTCCCATGTATATTATTTATTTCTAGATGGGGAGTTCATAATTGTCAACCGGAAGAGGCTGTTGGGGTCATATGCAAGACCGCAGTCGGTATTTGTCAAGAAGGCTATTGGAAATGTGATAATAGTCCAACTTGCATACCGACTCCCTTCATTTGCGACGAGGTAGTCGATTGTCCAGATTACTCCGATGAAAGTTTGGAACATTGCGATGTAAGAAAACTAAAAGAAAAATGGAAATGGATTTGCAAATTATATTATATCAGATAATAATTATACCAGAAGATTTGCGGGTTGTCACCTTATTTGTATCCATTGCTAATGATTAAAAAACAATCTGCAAACCTTCTGGTATAATTGAAGATAATACCCATGGAAGCCTCAAATATGTTATCACATTTGCATATTTTTTAATATTTCGATTTTAGGCACCATTTGAATTACGCTTGGCAAATGGTAGCAATCCTTTACAAGGAAGAATAGAAGTGCGTCATCACGGCGTGTGGGGTACCGTGTGCGATGATGACTTTACAAATTTCACAGCAATAGTCATTTGTAGATCTTTAGGGTACGGTGGTATCGCAATAGCTAAAAAAAACGGTTTCTTTGGGCCTGGCCAAGGACCAATATGGCTCGATGAGGTATGATATAAATAACAATATAAAAATAATTATCTATATTGTATATGTGTTGGTTTATTAATATTCTAAAATAATTTTCTTAACTTTTACAAAAAAGATTTTCTGTCATGGAAACGAATCGCAATTATATCGATGTGAGCATAACCATTGGGGTCAACATAATTGCGATCATAATGAGGACGCAGGTGTAATTTGTTTACCTGGAGATGTGAACAATGCCGAAGTAAATAAAACAAATCATAATTTATTTTATTACATATTTTTTTAATTAAAAATTATTTTATACGTTATATATAGTTTGCGCATTAAACTGCAATAATATTCAAATTTAACATATTTGTACAGAGAAGTATGTATAAAATGCTTAATTATTTATAAATTAGTATTATAGGATCACAGAAAGACCAACCACACGATTACCGACTGTAGTGTTAAAGTATACGCGCGCGCGCCCGTGTGTGTGTATGTGCGTGCGTGCATGTGCGTGTGTGTGACACTGGTCGCGATCGTCGCAGACATTGCGAAAAAGAAGCGCGAGAGAGAGTGATGTTGTAGTAGAAAGCGCATCGCGAGCAAAGTTAACAAGAAACCTTTTGGTACTAATAATAAACAATCGTCACAATATTTTTTTCATCACGCGTGCACGTAATGTGCCCTATTAAGGTACCGCAACGCTTTTGCGTGCGGTAAATAGCCAATACCTCAAGCCGTTGAGTTATTTCTCTAATCCCACTCTTTTACGCAAAAACGTTGCTGTATAAAGCACATTACGACGAGCACTTGTAATGAAAAATTCTATGTGTAGCGAGTGGGGGCATATTTGTTTATAGCGCTCGTGCGCTCGCGCTCGGCCGCGCTATAAACAACTATCCCCCACTGTTACACAATGTACTATTAATTTATTTAACATACAGCGTATAATATAACATAACAATGTAATTAATGTATACACAGTATACAAATACTTGACATAAATCGTAATGATTGTATTTATTAATAACAATTTCAAAGCAGACAAATTTTTTTAATATGATTTACTGTTTATTTCTTAATTTTACTTTCAAACAGTCGTACTGGATAAACGGTCAAGAACATCCGGAACAAAATATTAACGAGCTACTTCCATCAAATTGTGGCCAACGTACCAAAGATTTCGATAGTGATGAAGACTTAATATTTCAGAAAGTTTTACATGGCTCCGTTGCAACAAAAGGCACTTATCCTTGGCAGGTAAACATTTACTTTTATAAGAGAAAAAATTATTGAATTTTCTACAACTAATGGAGCTCAATTATCATTTTATACTCACTTTGTTAAAATAAATATTACATCAAATTGTGTAGCAAGATTGGTGTTACAAGAGGTTGTTAAATATTTAGGCTAGCATTCGAGTTCGAGGGCACAGTCGATCAAATCATTGGTGCGGTGCTGTTATTATATCACCTCTACACGTGCTAACTGCGGCACATTGTCTAGAAGGTTACAATAAAGGCACATATTTTGTTCGTGCGGGTGACTATAACACAGATGTAAGTATCTAACAAAATTATCAGTAAATTCCCAAAAACATTTACTTGTATATTATTATATACACATTTACTAATATCAATATATATATGACTATACATTATATCATATTTGATGTTATTAGATAAACGAAGGAACGGAAGTAGAAGCCAACATCGAAGATTATTACGTGCATGAGGAATTTCGTAAAGGCCACAGAATGAACAATGATATCGCTCTGGTTTTACTTAAAGGTCTCGGCATTCCGCTTGGCAATGATATCATGCCAATTTGCTTGCCGGCTGAGAATGCCGAATATTCGCCGGGATTAAATTGCACGATCAGCGGATTTGGCAGTATAGAAACGGGCAAGACAAGTAGGTGATAAATACTCAAAAGAATTACTTTAGAAGAATATTGTAAGATACACTAAATTCTTTTGTGCAGCGCAATCGAAAGATTTACGCTATGGCTGGGTGCCTTTGTTGGATCAGTCGATCTGCCGAGCTAGTTATGTTTATGGTGAAGGTGCCATAAGTGACGGAATGATGTGTGCTGGATATCTCGATGAAGGTATCGACACATGCGATGGAGATTCCGGAGGTCCCTTAGCATGTTATCACAACGGTAATGTCGAAATAATCAATAAATTAATTATAATATAAACACTAACAGCCTGGTCTCTCTCATAACTGAAAACACAATATAAAATTATAAATAAATAACGGCCAAATACGAGCGAATAATAATGTTAAGTAGTTATAATAAGTAGTAATTCTAACAATAAGTCATGGTTCTCTGAGAAGAGTGCGTGGCGCGAGGGTACTAACAAGTAAACCTACCCAAGTGTAACTTTCCGATTTTGATGAGCTTTTAGTATGTTGTTCTCCAAAGAAAAATAAGAGACACGTATTTTTTTTATACGTGCCCATACGCACTTTTAAAGGCTGAAATATCGCTTTGAAAAAAAAACGGTTTTTCTCTTTCGAAGCGAATATCGTCGAAAATATAAGAGATAGAAAAAAATTTCTAGAATAAAAATAGAATGGCTTCAAGGGTACTTTACAACTATAATCAAAAAAAATTTTTTTTAGTTATTTATTTATTGTATACCTTCACCCTCCACCCCTATTTTCAAAAATTTTTTTATCTTTATATGACAAAAATTATAGAGCATAATTTACTGAAAACAACGGTGTGTATTTAAATTATTTGTAAAGCCATTCGAGTCTTGAAAACTGGATGTTAATGTTTATTTTATAATGTGAATTTTATATACTGTGTATGTAGTCCCCCCCCGCGACGCTGATAGATTTTCAGCCTTGACGCATATTCACTACCACAGTAATATCACTTAGTTAAATTGAGAATCAATTTAACCAATTTTTGATGCCTATAGCATCATATTAGATCTTAATAATATGTTGAAAGACATATATTAAAATTTAATATTAAATTAATAATTTAAACTCAGAGAAGCTGAGATTGTGAAGAATATCACGAGTTGGCGTTTCGTCCCGGCTTCCACTACTGGACTCATCAGTAAGGTAATGTAGTGGGAGCCTACCTTAGACGCCTGGAAAGATGTTAGAAAGAAGTTCTATATAAACAATTACACATGTAATCAAGCACTTGCGAGAAATGGCATGAGTAACTATAGACCTCTGTTGGCTAGTCGACGAAGTGA